TGGGGGTGGGGCCGGCTCTGGGAGGGGGCCTATCGGGGCCTGGATCAGGCTGGTTGGCTGCCGCAGTGCAAGTCATAGCCACGGGTCGTTAAGCAATTCTGGTGGTTCAGTTGTTCTGGTCGCTGGGCTTTTATATATATAGACTAGAGGCCCGGTGCATGAAATTCGTGCACTGGGGGGTGGGGGTCCCTCAGCCCAGCCTGTCCCCTCTCACAGTCTGGGAGCCCTCAGTGGATGTCCTACTGAGCGGGCCTACGCCACAGTCTGGCAGCAGAGGCTCGGAGCAGACGCCCCGTGTGTGTGTGTGTGTCCACTGGGGCCTGCCCCCAGCCACACCGCGGAGGCTTGGAGCAGGCGCCCCTCTGTGTTTATCTCTCAGGCTCCTGGCTGCGCCTGTGCGTTGTTCTCTCTCTTGAGCGGCGGCCAGGGCAGGTGGGAAGCTTGGCTTCCTCCATCACTGGGGGCAACCCAAGCCTCCAGCTCCGTGGCCACTTGGCTTCTCCACTGCGGCCGCAGCCTCTTCAGTCTTCAGCCTTCACTCCGCGCCTATGTATGCAAATTAACTGCCATCTTTGTTGGGTTAATTTAGATATTCATCTGATTGGCTGGTGGGCGTAGCGGAGTGACACCAATTTGCATGTTCCTCTTTTATTAGTGCAGATAACCTCCCCTTTAATCAGCAACACAGTCTCATGAGATCCACAATTTTACTGTTTTCATTTTAAAAGTTAAGAAGTGAAGGCACAGACATTTAAGGGAAACATTCAAGGCCACAGTTTGTGTTTGTAGAACTTGGCTTAGAACCATATATTTAATTGCTTGTTTATGATCATGCAATGGTTCTATGTCCTTGTAGGTAAATCTGCAGCGAATGCTGATATTCCACCCCCTGGTGGCTCAGAGGCGTCACTGCAGTTGTAATCACCTCAAGACCTGGAGAGACAGGGACTGGTCAACCTTTTAGTAGCGAAGCGCCTGCCGCCCTAAGCAATCCCACTCCATTCCCACCATTTCCCAGGAGCGGCAGGAGGCAGCCGGCTTCGTGCTCATTGCTCAAGTGCCTGCAACGCTAACACTCAGCTCTCAGGAGTTTCACGAGAACGGCTGCCAGGTGACCAGTGGTCCAGCCCACGCCGTTCCCAACCCTAAGCCCGGTAACTCCCTCCATAAACCCAGCCAGAATCCACAGTTACTCATCGTCACCATCGTGTGCTGAGGCACCTATTAACACCCCACTCAGCGAGGCAGAATGTGCCATTAACGCCTCGCCCCAAAGAGCAAGGAACTCACGGGGCAGCCTCGTTCCCGAACCCAGGCCTGGCCCCGCTGGGTGGCATTTGGGGACTTGGAGTGGCGGGTACGCACTAATGTTCTGCACGCGGCGAGGTTAGTGGACGGCTGTCGCTGGAGAGCGTGTGTGGGAGCCGCCTGGGGAGTGTCCGCCTCCGCCACCCCGGGTTTCTCAGCAGGACCCCGAGCGGCGGCGAGAAGCGCTGCCCTCATGCCCAGTAAAAGCTCTTCAGACGATGCCCACGGAGAGGCAGCCTTTATTAAGGCCACTGACTCGGCCTGCGCCATGCTCACACGCGGCTGAACCTATTTTATTCTTATTTCACGAGGCGCTGAGAGGGAGGTGTGGAGACTTACGTATTTTCTCTAAGTGCGGCGTCCCGGCCGGTGTGGGGCCCGGGTGCCATGCTGTGGAGCGGATGCCTCGTATATGCAACCATAACGTGAGGCCTCTGTACTCCGCGCTCTAGCCACGAGCTGCCGGGAGCCGGTCCATGCTTGCTGTTTCAAGGGACCTGGCATATATGGCATACTGTTCTTAAAATGTTTGCTCACCTTCTTGGCACTATGTGTTTTAACCAAGGTCTCCTCTCTGAGAAAGGTTGTTTCCCCAGGTAGGGATTTTTTCCCTGAAGTCAGGGAGGGGATAAAACTCCTTAACTAAGTGCCAGGTGGGTAGTTAATCACTTTAACTACAAACAATCATGCTTAAGCTACATAATCTTTACTCCCTGGAATGGAGATAAGAAACGCCCTAACCTTTGTAATAGAGATTGATAGGATTGAATCAACTGGTATAAATACAGATGTAACAAGACAGCAAGAGTCAGAACTTAGAATACAGAGCTTAGAACACAGAACTTAGAATACGGAACCGAGAGAGACAGAACCTAGGCACAAAACCTACACAGAACGTTCTCTAGAGACAGAAGAACTTCGCTGGAGAGAACATGGCAAAAGATCCTGGACAGAAACTGGCCTCAGAACCTAGAGACAGAACGTAGCGAGAGAACATGGCAAAAGATCCTGGATTGAACCTGACTACAGAAATTGGCAAGAAAACCTGACTAGAACCTGGTGACTGAACCTGGCTGGAGAACCTGGACAGAACCTGGCTGGAGAACCTAGCGAGGGAACTTGGCTACAGAACCTGGCTGGAGATCCAAAGCAGAACCTCTCTGGAGATTCAGACCAGAACTTGGCTGGAGAACCTAGCTGGAGAACCTAGCAAGAGAACATGGACACAGAACCTGGCTGGAGATCCTGGCTAGAGGAACCTGGATATGATGATCACCTGAACGCTGCCTCTGTGTCATTCCTTCTTCGTCGACTCCGTCCACACCTACGGGGAACCCCTGGACCTGCTGGGGTTGGACCCCAGCAACGAGCCTTTACCAGCACGCCACGGAGCTGTGACCGAGCACCAGCCGGGCCTGTGCACAGTGCTGGGGACACGGGAGTGAGGAGGACACACGCCTCTTGTCTCTGTGGAGCACACAGTGTGGCAGCAACGGCACAACGGGGAAATGAAACCCCACAAACTCAGATTAGTTCCACGAAGGAAAGACTTGGGCCCTGGGAGTGGGGTCTCTTTTCAGGTGGGGAATGATGGGAAGACACGGTGTGAGGGACAAGCAGAGAGGTGGGGAGCTCTGGACGGGGGGGAAGGGGAGCTGAGGGAGGAGGCAGACAGACGGCGCACCTGCAGGGTCTGCAGAAGGAAAGGCCGTCCCGGCTCTGAGAGCGGCTCCAGGCCTGCGAGTGCACTGGGCGGGGGGAAAGGACGAGATTGGAGTCAGAAGAGCAGGGAGCAGCCAGGCCTGGCACGCTGTGCAGGTGGGGAACGGGGCCTGTTCTGAGGTCAGTGAGGAGCCACTTAATACTTTGAGGCATGAGAGGGGGAAGCAGCAGTAGAAGCCTCTGTGCAGAGATCAGTCCGAACATGAAGGAGGATGAAGCGGGTCAGGGTCAGGGTCAGGGTTAGGGTCAGGGTTGTGGTTAGGATTAGGGTTAGGGTTAGGGTCAGGGTTGGGTTAGGGTCAGGATCAGGGTTGGGTTAGGGTCAGGGTCAGGGTTGGGTTAGGGTTAGGGTCAGGGTTGGGTTAGGGTTAGGGTCAGGGTTGGGTTAGGGTCAGGGTCAGGGTTAGGGTCAGGGTCAGGGTCAGGGTTGTGGTTAGGATTAGGGTTAGGGTTAGGGTCAGGGTTGGGTTAGGGTCAGGGTCAGGGTTGGGTTAGGGTCAGGGTTGTTGTTAGGGTTAGGGTCAGGGTTAGATTTAGGATCAGGGTCAGCATTGGGTTAGGGCAGTGGTCGGCAAACTGCGGCCCCCTGAGTGTGGCTCTTCCACAAAATACCACGTGTGGGCACACACGTGCAGTGTGATTGAAATTTCGTGGCCACACTCAAGGGGCCAAAGAGCCACATGTGGCTCTCAAGCCGCAGTTTGCCAACCACTGGGCTAGGGTCAGGGTCAGGGTCAGGTTAGGGTCAGGGTTGTGATTAGGGTCAGGGTTGTTGTTAGGGTCAGGGTTGTTGTTAGGGTCAGGGTTGTTGTTAGGGTCAGGGTTGTTGTTAGGGTTGTGTTTAAGGTTAGGGCTCGTGTTGTAGTTTTCCTGTGGAGGTGTGATGAGGTCTTTTGTCACCCAGGAGAGGCACTACACAGCCTCTGAGCCCTAGGTTACTCAGATACGACCTCTGAATTATGTGGCATCCCTCTGCGACCGCATACCACGGGTCATTCTGTACGAACTGTCCACGGCTCTTGCATATTTTTGGTTTCCTTCGCCCTAAGTAGGGAGACTATGGTGTTCCCCTCAGGGTGCCTGCTCCCCATGCAGGGCTGAGGCTGAGCGCAGCCACTGTCGATGGTGCCGTGGACAACGTGCTGGCCCGTCCTGTGCTGTGAGGAAGGGGCTATGCTTTGTGTCACCCATAATGTGATCAACGTAGGCGCCACCATCGCCTGCGATCAAACCAGACACTGAATAAACGAAAACAAGCCGGTCTGGAGCGGGCGTGGCTCAGGTCGCCGTCAGCCTTGGGGGGCAGTGATGGAGGTGATGGAAGTAAGAGACTGCCTGGTGCCAGCACCTCAGAATGAGGAGTGGTCCGCGGCCATTCACCCTCCGAAGGTCAGGACACACCTTAGAAGGAAACCCGGCCTCCGCACGAGGTGGGGACAGCGGTGAGGGAGGGCCGGTGCCCACGGGCAGGGCCGCGCTGTGTTCTGGGGGGACAGCAGGCAGGAGTTTCACGGCCGCTCTCCGCTCACAGTCCGAGCCCCGGGCAGACCGGGGCCTGCGTGGGCCGAGGGTGGGCTCCACGGGGGTGATTTCTGGCCAAAGGTCTCTGGATGGTGTGACCGTGCTTTGCTAAGGGGGCGTCTCTCTGAGCTCCAAGGCTGGATGTTAACGTTCGCTCGGCTGGCCCACCTCCTGTCGCATCGCCCACTGCCCGGTCCGCAGAGCCGCAGCGACGGGGAGAGCAGGGGTGGCTGGTGCCGCCGGCACTGATGGTGGACAAACCTGCCCGGTGAGTCCTGAGTCCGCTGGGACGCCAGAGCCCTGTCAAGGCTGGACCAGCCCCTCTCTGACTCACACCACCGCCCTGCGAACCGCACCCAGTGCCATGAGCCACCCTCACGGGCAGCGAGGAGGTGGGCGAGCCCAGCAGAGGCGCCGCCCAGGGTCCGAGTATATAACGTCCCGAAGGCAGAGCTCCCCTGCAGACCAGCATGGCCGGTCCGGGCCCGGGTCCGCACGGCCAACTCCATCCCAGAGCTTCGCCGCCATGGCCCCGAGCCACGGCCCCGCGCTGAGGCGCGTCTACAAGGCGCCCCCTCTCGCTGCCATCGAGCACGGCCCGTGCCCCGTGAGCCTGGATGGCGGACTGGTTCTGCCCAGCAGCTGCCACGGCAGGACCTGGCTCTTGGACCCCGCGGGCGAGGTCCGGGGTGGAACCAGAAGCGGCCGAGTGCCCGACCGCCCACGGGAGCCGAGCCCAGAGGCCAGCGGCCTGCCCAAGGCCCACCTCCCGGGAGCTGCCCAGGTGACTGGCGCCCATGCCGGCCCCTGCGGGAGGCCCAGGGGCCCGTCGGGGCGCGTCGTGGCTGAGTCCACGTGCACGTCTGAGCCTCGCCCGGCAGGAAAGAGCCGGCCCCCACGCTCTGCCCTCCAGGGCTGTCCACCTGGGGTGACCAAGCGCTGGCCCCCCAAGACTAATGTGCCCGAGCTTCCCCAGACTCTGGACCGTGAATCCAGCCAGGGCCACACTCAGAGCCCCGACTCCCGGCCCCGCAGACCTCTCGTCTCGGTCACGCCGGGGCCACCGCTTCCGGGACCTTCTGCTGGTGCGTGTGAGCCAACCTGCTGCGTGACGGGGGGCTGGCAGCTGCCCGGGAAGTGAGGGGCGGGCGGCGCGGAGGGAGGGCACGCTCAGTGGGTGGATCGCTCCTGGGGCCTCAGGGAGCTTTTCTCTCTGAAAACAGACGAAGGTGCTCGGGCTGTAAGTGGTGAGCGTGTCTCCCACTGGGTCCAAATACATTGGTTTTCAGGGGGAGGGGGGCTTTCTGGTGCTGAGCTGGGACGGGAAACTCTGTTAATTACTTTAGTCACTAAGGGTCAGAGGTCAATCAAAGTTCAACCAGAGACTAACATGAGTGCGTGCCAAGTCACCATTATACCCACTGCTGCTTATTATCTACACACACACTTAGCCCTGAGTCATTAATAAAATAATAATATAACATAATGTAGTATAGCATAGTATAGTATAACATAACATAATGTAAATAGAGTGCAGCTAATGTCAGGAACCCACATGTTATTGGAGTTGAGACCTGTCGCCCACCCGGTCCTGTGACCCTCAGGGTCGGCTCTGCAGGAGCCGCCGTGCAGGGAACCGTCAGAACCACACCGACGTCCGCGGCACGCGCTGTCCTCCTCCGCGTTCTCTGCTGTGGCTCACACTCCGCCGGGTCACGGGGGGCTGACCCCTCGCTGGACACGGCAGAGCACTGTGGGTTCACAGCCATGGGCGCGGTAGCCTGCGGCCGCCGGGGCTCTTTGGGCGCGAGGATGGGGTGCGGCATGGACGGCGCCTCCAGCCCCATGGCTTCCTCCTCTCACTCTGTCGTAAGCGGTTTTGAGCTGGGAAATGTTCTTTGTATCAAATACATTGAATTCATGTAAAGTTACAAGCTTCACCGTCAGGACATTATTTTCAGTCAGCGCTTTGGTGGGTTTTATAATATCGGGTTGTGTTGTTGTTTTTTCATGAGACGACAACAGTACAACTATTTGGAGGGAAGAGGGCATGTGCCCTCACCCCGTTTGCATGTATGAAGGAGAATCGAGACCGTGTTGAAGATGGGCACACGCCACTGTGAGGACCACAGACCACGAGTCATGTGTGTGGGGCTGGACTGGCCGAGCGGCTGTGGGCTGCCCTCGGAGGGGCCCTCACGCTCCAGGGCGACCCCGTCAGCCGGGCTGGGCTTTGTCCCGAAAGGCGTCCACTCCCAGGTCAGCGGCCCCACACCCTCAGGAGGCCGAGGGTGGTTTGAGGGCCTAGATCAGCGATGGCGAACCTATGACACGCGTGTCAGAGGTGACACACGCACTCATTTTCTTTGGTTGATTTTTCTTTGTTAAATGGCATTTAAATATATAAAATAAATATCAAAAATATAAGTCTTTGTTTTACTATGGTTGCAAATATCAACAAATTTCTATACGTGACGCGGCACCAGAGTTACGTTAGGGTTTTTCAAAATGCTGACACGCCGAGCTCAGAAGGTTCGCCGTCACTGGCCTAGCTATTCGTGGCGAAGACGACCGGCCACTTTGCACGGTTCTCCGGTGCTCCCTCATTGTCATCGGCTACATTCTCACGGAATCAGGCTTATTCCTCCTCCCGAGAGACCTTCCCGGGGCCTCGCTCTGCAGCTGAGCAGGCACACAGGCGGGGCCGCGGCTGCAACTGGAGAGAGCGGCCGACTCGCACCCGGGGCCGCTGCCGGCACGCAGTCCCCCCGAGGAGGTCGTTCCCCATGCTCCCTGCGCCAGCACCACACGCTGTAACGACCCCTGTGTGTGCAGTCACAGGCCGCGCTCAACACATAGAAAACCTCTATCGCAGCCGTTCTCAACCTGTGGGTCGCGAGCCCTCTGGGGGTCCAACGACCCTTTCACAGGGGTCGCCTAAGGCCATCGGAAAACACATCTATAGTTACATATTGTTTCTGTGATGAATCACTATGCTGTAATGATGTTCAATGTGTCACAATGAAATTGGGGGTCACCACAGCATGAGGAGCGGTGTTAAAGGGCCGCGGCATCAGGAAGGTTGAGAACCACGCTCTATCGGATCCGAAGGCTTGTCTCCCGCTCACACACTGTCAGACACACTCATCGTCTGCAGAGGGTGCGACCACCTTTCCGCGAAGGTCGGACCTGGTTTCTCTGAGCGCGAGGTCCGTGGGATGAGGGGGAGACTTGTGTGCCCCTTGCTTTAGGGTCGTGGGTGCTTGTCTGTGGCTGAGAGCAGCCTGTTCCCTGACGTCTGAACAACCAGCCGTGTTTAGCACTGCGGTTTCTTTGTGGTTTTTTTTAGAAAAGTTTATTGGTTTTTAGAGAGAGAGGAAAGGAGAAGAGAGAAACGTGCATGTGAGAGAGAACCATCGGTGGGCTGCCTCCTGCTCGCCCCACACTGGGGATCGCGCCCACAACCCGGGCCTGAGCCCTGACCAGGGGGATCGAACCAGCAACCTTTCCGTGTACCCAGGACGCCGCCCACCCACAGAGCCACCGGCCAGGGCCAGCCCCACGGGGGTCAGAATGGGGTCTGCACTGGATGCTCATTATTAGAAGCTTCTAGAAGCCACAGCACAGACGGGAGGAGCCTGACCCGTGGGTGCTCTGCCTGGAGCCTCACTGGGGTCACCTTCACTCAGTAACGACCCAGCCACAGCCTCTGCCTCTGCTTCTCGTCTAACGACTCACAAGGGGCCTGGGAAGTGCCTCTGCTTAGCCAGGAGGGCGGCCGGCTCTGGATGGAGCGCCCGCTGCCAGCCAGCGCCCGTCCCAGCCCCTGACCCCCCGGCCCCCGACCCCCGACCCCTCTCCGCTGTGTCCAGAACCTGCCACACCTGAGTCCCTGCTCCTCCCCCTGTGTCCTCCCGCCCAGCAGCTGCCTCAGAACCTGGGCTGCGGGGACAGTGGCTGCTGGTGCCACACCTCACCCCGGGGCCCGCCCGCCTCCCCGCCCGGTCCTAGCAGCTGCTGCCCCCTAGTGGCCGGCCTTGCTTCTCAACAAGTGAGCGGCCGACACAACAGCTTTTATTTGTCTTAATTTTCACCCGAGGATATTTTCCCATTGATTGTTAGAGAGAGAGGGAGAGACAGAGGGAAGCATCGGTGCGAGAGAAGCACAGTGATTGGCTGCCTCCTGCACGCGCCCTGACCAGGGCCCGGCCAGGAGGACTGAGGTACATGCCCTTGACCAGGATCGAACCCGGGGCCCTTCAGTCCACAGGCTGACGCTCTGCCCACTGAGCCAAACCCGTAGGGTCAGCTTTTCTTTTTTAAAAATTCATCTTTATTGTTGAAAGTGTCACAGGTGTCCCCCTGTCTCCCTCATGGACCCCCCCACCCCGCCTCCCAGGCCTTCATCACAGGACTGTCTGGGTCCGTGGCCACCCACATATGCCTTTAAGTGTTTCCAATAAAGGACCTCGACATTCCTCCCTGGCCGCGCTGGGAGGGCGGCCGGTCTCGCAGAGACCAGCCTGAGGCCGTGCTGTTCGAAGGAAGAGTCCAGCTCGCCGTCCGTCACTCTTCTCTCCAGACGTGCGGCCGTCTCTTCACGATTCCCATTCGCTCCCTTTTCTCTCGTCTTCGTGCCCTTTACGCCGTGAGATGTGTTCACTGGGGCTTCAGATTGCTTCTTTCGCTTCTAATGACTGTGATGAATCTCCCCCAGCGACTCCCGCATACGTGCGCGCATTTGTCACGGTTACTTTGAGATCATTACGATTATTGTGTCTACAGTGAGATTTCGGTTTCATTTAGCCATTGAGGGTGGGAACTGGCATGGAAAGCAGGGGGCTCATCCCGGGGGACCTCTAAGAGCGGAGCCCAAACTATGGGCGAGGAGAGGAATTCGATTCCGAAGCAGATGGAGAACCCAGAGGGGCAAAGCCGCGAAGACGTGAGGCTGGGCAAAGCCGTCTTGGATGCGAGCCCGGAGCCCGTCTGTAAAATGAAGCACCAACAAGTCGCACTCACCGAAATGGAAAGCGCCGCTCTTCCAGGCGTCACCTGGCAGGAGCGGGGAGGCCGCGGGCGGAGAGACGCCCGCAGACCCTGCGGCTGACGAAGAGGCGGCGTTTCAATGCTCGTCAGGAACTGGAGTCCACGGCAGGAAGGCAAGCAGCCGAGTCAAACGGGAGCAGCAGGCGGAGCGGGTCTTCGCGGAAGGTGGCGTTCGGGGGGAGGTGAGCGTGAGGGCCGCCGGCCGCCTGCAAACCTGAGCCCGGCCAGGCGCCGCCCCGACGGACGACGCGTTTCTGAAAGTCCGACCGCACGTTGGCACGAGCCACGGAGCCCCAGCGCTGGCGCCGCCGGCGGGACCACGCACGGTGCAGTCACTCGGGGAAAACCTGATGTTTCCTCCAAACGCACACACCGGCCCCTCCCAGGATCCGAGCACTCACTTCACTCCGCGGCCTTGACCCACGAGAGACGAAGACACGTGTCGATCCGCACCCTGGCACGCAGGTGCCCGTGGGATCTGTGTGTTGGTCGTTCCCAAAACGCTGCACACAAGCCAGAGTCCATCAGCGTCTGAATAAGCAAATCCCGGTGTCCACGTAGTGGCGCGCTACACAGCAATACAGTGACCTGCTGCCGGGTGCTGCACGCCGCGAATCTAAGCATAGGTGCAGCGAGTGGGAGGGAAGGAAAGCCCGTGGACGCTGTGTGACGTCATTGGGTCAAAGAAAACGTAAGGACAAGATCAGAAGTGGAAGCCGAAACCGGTGTGGCTCAGTGGATAGAGCGTCGGCCTGCGGACTGAAAGGTCCCAGGTTCGATTCCGGTCAAGGGCATGTACCTGGGTTGTGGGCATATCCCAGTGGGAGATGTGCAGGAGGCAGCTGATCGATGTTTCTCTCTCATCGATGTTTCTAGCTCTCTATCTCTCTCCCTTCCTCTCTGTAAAAATTCAATAAAATATATATTTTAAAAAAATCAGAAGTGGAAGAAGGACCAGAGGCTGCTCAGGGGGAGGGAGGGGAGGGAGGAGGAGGGGGAGGGGAGGGGAGGGGGGGGGGAGGGGGGAGGGGGGGAGGGGGGGGGGGGGGGGGGAGAGGATGGAGGGGGGAACTGCCTGGGGCCGGTGATAAACATGTCAGCGTGATCCTTGGTCCACACCGATGTCAAAACGCATCCAATTTCACTCTTTAAATATGTTTAGTGCCCTGGCTGGTGTGCTCAGTGGATAGAGCACCAGCCAGGGCACTAAGGGCCCGAAGGGTCCCGGGTTCGATTCCAGTCAAGAGCATGACTCGGTTGCAGCCTCATCCCCGGCCTGGGCCCTGGTCGAGGCTCATGCAGGAGGCAGCCGATCGATGTTTCTGTCTTTCCCTCTCCCACTCTCTCTAAAAATCAATGGAAAGATATCCTTGGGTGAGAATTAACCAAATATACCATATATATATCCCACATTCAAAGGCTGTTAAATCGCCTTGTTTACCCATCTCTTCAGAAAAAATCACTTCTACTGTCGTGGTAAACAACCTGCTTCCCTATTTATCATGGTCTGGCCCTCTAGCAACTTCAGCGCGAAATTATAGCTGATTTGCCTACCAACGCCAGGTGGTCTAATAATCTGGCCACTGAGTCTATATGTTCAGTTTAGTGCATGTCAGCGGTACCTCAATAAACTGAGAGGAAACCCAGAGAGGAGAGACCTGTGGAGGTCAAAGGGACAGAGTCAAGGGCGTGGCTGTGACATAGGAGGAGGGACGTCCTGTTTCCCATCAGGCAGACGGGACGTGCAATTAGTACAAACCGTCGCCGACATGGGGGGGCCGTGTGTGACTGGAGTGGGCGTGAGCGGAGCCAGTTTCCTAGAAATCACGTCATCCGTGCACATCACAGAGAACCGTAGGGCCGAGCGAGGCTGCCGCGGGAAGTGGCCTGCAGCCGCCTTTCCAGGTGGCCCAGCTCCACCCCCCGGCCGGTCGTGGGATTGTTTATCTCCCAGTGGATCATGACTCAGCGATCCCGATCCCACGGGTGAGACCCGACAGGACGGGTAAGTGGGGCACGCTCCATTCTGCGGAGAAGCCGCGGACCGGCTCCGGGTACCGGCTGTCCTCTCTGAGCCGGGCTCAGGTAGACACCCATCGGGGGGCTGGGATGGGCTCCGTCTCTCTGCACCCCCTCCCATCTCCATGCTGTTCGGCGCTCCCTCGTGAAAACGGGTGGACGGAGAGGGAAGTGGATGAAGGAGGTTACAGGCTTGACGAAGGGAAGGCCAAGTTTTACTGGATAAAGAAAACTCATGTTGAATTTCGTGAGAGCTCTGGTGCCAGTCGCAAACATTATTAAGAACTGACTAAAGTTTCCGCACATGCGTCGAGAACAAT